TGAATGTACAAATGTGCTTTACACAATAGATGTATGTATGGATTGTGATAAGAGTTGTATGAGCCCCCAATAAAATGATTAATAAAAAAAAAAAGAAATGCCTATGGCTCCAGGGACCTGGGCTACCACCTAAGGAAGGCTGGATCTCAAGGCCCGGCCTGGGCTGTCCCAGATCTCGGATCTGCTCCAGGAGGACATACACTTGACCTGCGTACCTGGATCTCACCTGGATGGGCCACAGTTTCCAGATCCAGCCCCTCACAGCTAAAGGAGGTCTGGAAAACCAAGGATGGTGGACACACTGAGCTGGAAGGGATCGAAGTCACCTAAGGACTAGGGTTAAGTGACTCCATCCTCCCAACCTCCTATTGCCCCAGCACCTCAGTTTTGAGATGTTTGCAGGGGTTAACACATAGGGGCAAAAGAGTACAAGAGACATGGAAGCCCCTGGGTGTTCCCCTCCAATTGCCAACCTTTGCTAAGGGGCAAGTTGACAGGCGAGCCCACAGCTGGTGGATGAATAAGCTCTGCCGCCCAGTGGCCGTTCTCTGTAATGACAACTTGAAAACCAGCATTCAGGGCCTGCCTAAGGCGGCCTCCGTGGGGGAAAAGTTCAATTCTAAAAGAGCAACCCCGCTTTTGTAGTGAGGTGGGCAATCTGGAAAAAGTTCAAAACGGAGCAGCCTCTAGGTCGCTAATTCAGGAAGTAAATTTTACTGTGTCCACCAAAAACGCATGTTGTAAAGCCTAACCCTTCTATCTGTGGTGATAGTCCCATTTGATGTGAATGGGTTTCCTTTATATGAAAGAGGCAGGATTAGGATCGGTGTATTGTAAATCAGTCTCTTTTGAAACATAAAAAAAAGCAGATTAAGCTGGCAGGGATGGGGAAGACAGTCACCAAGTCACATAAAATCACCCAGGAATCAAGGCCCAGGGACTTTCCTCCAGAACAAGCCTCTCCCTAGAGCGTGCACCCTGGAGTTAGACCTGTAGCCGCCTCAACTGTAAGAAAGTTAACTTCTACTCCTTAATACCACCGCTTGTGGTATTTCCTATTCCAGCAGTACTAGATAACTAAGCTACCTTGCAAGAAGCGCAGATTTCCTAGGGACCAGCAAACAAAGCTGGAGGTTTGGGGTCTTCCGATGGCTGTTACCTGAACCTGTCAACACTTCATGATCACACAAGCTAGTGTGCTTCTTCCATGTGGGCTTGTCGCTTCCCTGTTAGATGGTCGCTTGTTTAGCTTCAAGCCTTAAGACCCCAGACGTTCCTTTTTGATAGCCAGGCACCATCCGCTGTTTTCACCACATTTGCTTATGCACCCATTTGTCTTCAGCAATCGTGCGGGGAGGGTGAGTCTCACAGTACGCCAGGTTGTTAGATCAAAGTGTTCTTGCGTTGAGGTAGGGCTTGAGCAGAGAAGCTGGTGGTTTGGTCCACTTGTGTTTCTAAGACTTTGCCACGGCCTCTGGTAGTGGTGATGGTGG